GGTTGAAAAATCCGTCCGATGGAGGGCATTGAATCGACTCTCAGGTCCATTCCTGCTAGTCCTCCTCGCCCACGTCCTCGACCTCCTTGACCTCCTCCTCCTCCTCCTCCTCCTCCTTCTCGTCCTTCTCGTCCTTCTCGTCCTTCTCGTCTTGCTCATCTTCTTGCACTACCTGCCTCCCATTTCATCTTCCTCCTTTCATCTTGTTCCTCTCGCCTGCTCGTCTGATTTTCTCTATCAGAGAATCCCTTCGACGTCCAGGCAGTTCTTGACATCAGGAACAATCCCAACGATCCCTACATGGGCAAAGTGCGTCAGCTCCTGCTCCTCCTGCTCCTCCTGCTCCTCCTGCTCCTCCTGCTCCTCCTGCTCCTCCTGCTCATGCTCTTGCTACACATCCACTCCTGAAGCTCTTGCCGCTCCTCCTCCTCCTCCTCCTCCTCCTCCTCCTCCTTCTCCTCCTCTCCCATAGCTTCAGCTTTGACTCCACATCGTCTCACTTCTTGTTGCAGGACCTTAACGATTGGCTCGATAAGATCTCCCGTGAAGGCATTCCTGGTTGGGATGTGGACATACCCCCCGTGGGTAAGTGGAGGAGGTGGAGGAAACGATGTGGAAGGAGGAGCAGGAGCAGGAGCAGGAGCAGGAGCAGAAGGAGCAGAAGGAGCAGGAGCTGGAGCTGGAGCAGGAGCAAGAGAAAGAGAACGAGGAGCATCAGGAGCAAGAGCAGCAGGAAAGCAGCAGCAGGAAGAGAGGGAGCAGGAGCAGCAGGAAAGCAGCAGCAGGAAGAGAAGGAGCAGGAGCAGGAGTTGGGTGGAGGAGTGGAGGGGAGTTGGAGGGGAGGACAAAGCAAGGCAATGTGTTAGTACGTGATGAAGGAGAAAGAAGGAGGAGGGGGAGGGGAAAAGGAGAATACGTTCTGAAGAAGCTGCAGATGGGGAGGAAACTCTTCAGAAACCAGCGGAGGAAGAAGGCGAAGGTGTGGATGAAATTTGATTGTGAAAGGAAGAAGGATTACAATGATGGAAAGCAAGGGCATGAGAAAACAGGAGGGGAACGAGAAGGGGGCGAGAGGAAGAGGAGGAGGAGGCGAAGATGTATAGTTATTCACTCAATTATCATTTCGAAGTCTTACATGTCTGCGCTCTTGCGCCCAACACTATACAGATGGTGAGCAGTGTGACGAGTGGGATGAAGAAGTACATCTGCGATCTTGTCATAATGCGAAGGGGGAGGGGAGGAGGGAGGAGGCCAAAGGGGAGGGGAGGAAGATGGAAAGAAGGACACAATTCGGGAGAGAAGAGAGGGCGGGAAGGAAGACGAGGGGGGGGAGGAAAGCAAGGGGAGGAGCAGAGGGAGAGAAGGAGGACGAGGGAGAAGAAAGAGAGGGAGAGAATCAGGAGGGGAAGGAGAAGGACAGGGGGGTAGGAGAGGGGAGGAAGGAAAAGCCCTCAGCTTGCCTGCATCCTTTCGATCAAGTAGTGCGTGCATTGCGTGCTGCGATCGGTTGAGAACAATCAGGCAAAGTTGTCAAGTCAGCACCTCATGCTTGTCATCTCCGGTTGCTGTGTGATCAACGTTGTATCGGACGCAAGTCCTTGGACCTTGAAAGTTGTGTCACATGCAAGACAAGCGTGCGAGAGGAAGAAGGGAGTTCATTGAAGAGATGTAGATCATTGGAGAGATGTAGGTGATGGCAAAGCAGATGAGACGTTGTCTCACATCAAAGAAAGTTCTCTGCACCCTCTTCTTGATCGGTTTCGAGAAGATGATCTGAAACGCCAAGATGAGCATCGTGGTATGATTGGAAGGTTGTGACACTCACCTCGTATGCAAATTTGTCGAGATGTATGAGAAAAAGCATGATGATCAGCGAGGTGAATCTAATTGCAGATAAATATGTAGTCCGAGAAGAGAGGGAAAGGAGAGAGAGGAGGGAAAAGCGAAGAGCGCGCGCAGAATTGAAGTAATAAGAGGAGGAGGAGGAGGAGGAGGAGGAGGAGGAGGAACAAGAAGAAAAGGAGGAAGGAGGAGGAAGATGAAAGGAAAGAAGGAAATAGTAAGTACTACATGACATCAACAGACTCCGAGGAGAGGATACGGAGAAGTCCTGTAACCAAGGAAACGATCCAGATGAGGAACCAGGGGATGATGGCTGTAAGGTCGCTGAGATAAGATGTAGAACAGTAGAACAGCAGAGAAGATGGCAGAAGAACATGTGCATTCTCACCAAAAAAGAAACAGTACATCCTGTCATGCCTTGTGCACCAGATATTTGAGACCTGAGAGATGAAGGCATTGGTTGAGAGAGAGAAGGAGGAAGGAGAGGTAAGGATAGGCATGGAAGAGAGAGAGGGGGAGAAGGGAAGTGAGAGAGAAGAAGGAGGAGAGGAGAGGTAAGGAGGAGAGGAGAGGAGAGGAGAGGAGAGGAGGGGCTCGAGGGAAGGAGGAATGGGGATCGGGGAAGTGCGAGGAGAAGGCAACAACCTTGTCGTCTATTTGCAGGGTAGTAGTCTTGAAGCATATCATGGTGCTCGTGATGATTTGTCCCATTATTGCGAAGATGAAGGAAAGAAAGATGCCACAACAACCAACTTGCAAACTGACGGGAACATTGCAGTTGACAACATTGTTGATGTTGAATCTTGTATCGACGTCTCGATATATATGAAATCTTCAAGGACTATGGTCAGTGAAAAGGGGAGGAGGAGAGGAGAGGAGAGGATGAGGAGAGGAGAGGAGAGGACAGGACAGGACAGGACAGGACAGGACAGGACAGGACAGGAGAGGACAGGAGAGGACAGGAGAGGAGAGGACAGGAGAGGAGAGGACAGGAGAGGAGAGGGAGAGGAGAGGAGAGGAGAGGAGAGGAGAGGACAGGACAGGACAGGACAGGACAGGAGAGGAGAGGAGAGGAGAGGAGAGGAGAGGACAGGAGAGAAGAGGAGAGGAGAGGAGAGGAGAGGAGAGGAGAGGACAGGAGAGGAGAGGAGCATCGTGAACATACATGAACATCCCCGAGATCAAAAACGTCATCAGCATTTGAATCCCCGAGAAAAAGATCGCGGCCGTGGCCCTTATAGCTGTCTTGTCATCCGTAGCCTGTCAAACTCCCTCAGCACATCTATCCTTCTCTTCCTCCTCTTCCTCCACAGCCTCTCATTCTCCTCCTCTACACGCTCTCCTCCTCCTCTACACCCTCCAATCCTCAATGACATGGAGAACCATCCAACTTACCAGCCACAGGCACAGGAACACTGAGTACGCGTTCTCGTAAGGTGATTTCCACATGTTCATTTCTCTGATCTTGGCCATCTGCTCTTCATTCTCCCTCTTCGCCTGGAAATCCTCGATGTACAGCATGAGATCCCTCCTGTTCTCCTCTGCTATCGACATCCTTCCCTGTGCCCTCAGCTCCTCTTGCACGGACATGCTCCTCTCCTGCCGCACCGCCTCGTTCATCGCCCTCCCGAAGTTCTCGAGCGATCCTAGGGGGCGCGTTTCCAGCATGTCGATGGAGTTTCGAAGCGGAGGAGGGAGCTTGCGAGCAGGGGAGGAGTTCTGAATGGGGGAGGAGGAACGAGAGATTGCCTCTCGGAGATCAGGAGCAAGAGACAGCCCAGGCATGACTGGGAGCGCTCGATCGGGCGACATGCTCGCTCTCATGGGGCTCATGGGCTTGTCCCGAGGTGTACTAAGAGGAGAGGAGCGCTGAGGAGCCTTAGAGGACCTCGACTGCATCGGTGATCCTCCTCCTCCTCCTCCTCCTCCTCCTCCTCCTCCTCCTCCTCCTCCTCCTGCGTCATCGACCACCCTCTTCGGCGATCCCTTAAGGAGGAGGATACCAGAGAAGGACCAGCTCCCGTCTTTCCCTCTGACCTTCCTGAAGCCCTTGTCGATCATGTGCGAGCTGAACTCCACGTGCGACAGAGTCTCGAGGCCGTGAGGGTTGGCATACATTTGGAAATCAGCGTACAGCTTGTCCGTCCTCACCATGTCTGATCGTTTCCCGCTCATGCTGCATCGCTCGCTCAGCCACTTGTCCAGGTCCGTCGTCTCCTCCGAGGGGTTCACCCTGGGGATCTCCGTGCTCTTTTTCCTTCCCCTCCCCCGACGGAGAGGCGAGGAGGGTCGAGACCTGTTCGCTCCTAGCGTCGACGGGCCCTCTCCTCCCTTGGACAGCATGGGAGCGCTGCTGCCGTGACCCGTCCTTCCGTCCTCCTCCGCATTGACGAAATACGCGTCAATGTCAAAGATCTCCGTGCTCTTCTTTCCCGCCTCTGTCTCCATCTTCTGCCCGGAAACAGCCGAGAACCAGTCCCCGTAGACTGACGACGCCGCCCCATTCTCCTCCTCCTGCTGTGACGATCCTCCGTTTCTTCTCAGAGGAGAACCTGGTTTCCTTATGGGAGATGACGCCCTCTTCATTGGAGAGGATGGGTGCCTCATGGTAGTTCCTCTCCCTCTCCCTCTCCCTCTTCCTCTCTCTCTCTCTCTCTCTCTCCCTCTTCCTCTCCCTCTTCCTCTTCCTCTTCCTCTTCCTCTTCCTCTCCCTCTTCCTTTACGTATCTAGCTATTTCCTTCCCCTGCCTCTTTCCCTGTGCTGTTCAATGTGTCTCCCCCATACTGAAACGTTCAACAGCCTCTCTTTATCCCCGTATCTCCGGCAATGGTTCTGCAGCTTTTGAGGCGTGTAGTTCTGAGCAGCTCGAGTTCTCCTCCCTGCCTCCCCTTCTCCTCTCCTCCTCCCCTCCTCCCTTCAGCCTGTTCTCCTCTCCTCTCCTCTCCCCGGCTCCCTCCTGCCCTCGCCTCTGTTCGCTCCCTCTCCGACCCCCTCGATAACGCCACAGGTATCACTAATAGAAAGATATGGCAGACGGTCATGGGGAGGGGCAGGGGGGGCAGGGGATGTAGAAGGAACCTCAGAGGGGTCGAGAGTGAACATGCTGGGGGAGCAGACTGAGACGACAATCAGGTCTGCCATGTCCAGTAATGACGGCGCCATGTTTGGTCCGCCATGCCCTGTGAAGGAAGCTCGAACTATCGCCGAGTTCGTCGAGTTCGCATCATGGCATGTCAAGGAGTGCGATGGATACACCGACTCTGTCTTCCTCTGCTTGCTTTCTCAAGCTGGTGGAAGACAGAGGATGGAGTGAGTGGAGATGCGAGGTGAGGGTCCGAGGCTGTTCAGTCATACCGCTCGACATGGAGGAACACATACATGAAAGTCGTTAAGTTGCGACGTTTTTCAGACAGATGCAGCCATGGCGCTGTCTAACAACAACAAGAGCAGAGGGTTCAGCATTTCACAGCGCTCATCATTTCTTTGAGGCAATCTTCTTTACAACCTCGTACGCGTCCAACGAGTCTGACGAGGTGTTTCCTCCACGTCCTCCTCTATCTCCCCTTGTCATAGAGAGTTAGTTACCCCAGGAGCAGCACTGACAACCCTTGCAATCATCCTCCCTCCCTTCCTGCTCATCTATCTACACGTGCCGTTGACCTTGTCGAGCTTGCACTGATCATGCTCCCAGTAGACCCAGTCCCCGTGCGGGGGCTCTTCATGCTTGCTCGAGAAGTCCTTGTACGCGCCATAGTCGCCGGGGATCGGGTCGACGACGCAGTTCCAGTTGGACGCTGTTGGCATGCAGCCGTAGCCCGAAGCAAGTAGCTGAAACATGTCCGAACACACTGTGAGAGTACACGGACTTAGCAGAGAACGACATTGCTCGAAAGGAATGAGAAGGAGGGACGAGGAGACCAAGGAGCAGTGAAACAACAAGTGAATAGGGTCTTCTCTTGTAGACATAAAGGGCACCATCACTCTCATTCGAAACACAGCGAAAACCAAACCCTAAATCCTGACAAACATCATAACGAGATGATAGACTAATGCAAGGATACTGCTCTTCACGATTCCTCAACTGTCAGTTGCTCAAACTATCTTTGCAGTTTTTGCGTATCTGTGTAGTCACATTACATTAGATTCTTTGTCTACAACCTGTGTTCAACATCATCGCCTAATATTTTGGCAGACATAATCATGGCTGACATGCTTCTTGCACCTAATCCTCTATTTGCATGCTGACCGCGAAGTTTCAGTGCCCTGCGTTTCTGAACTTTCCTTTCCTGACCCTCCCTTCCAACCAATCCCTCTTTTTCTTTGGCTCGTCTGTCATACTGCAACATAATCCTAGGCACAAGAGCTCATTCAAGGAGTGTTTGTGCAACTTGTAGTCAACTTTTTCAGATGTCCCTTCCATCGATGTGCATTTTGCAAGTATCATACACAACAAGAAAATGTCCATCGCTCTTTGACGCATTTGAACATCTCATGACTTCCTTTGATTTGTTCCTGTTCATTTTTCTCCTGCTCTTCCATGATCCCATCTTTAGTGCCAAGGTATTTCGGGCATTGTAGATGAGCCGCCAATGTTGGGCGACCAGAGAACCGTTTGAGCCGTTAAAAACCGTTACTCAAACGTTATGTCAGTTGACTCACCGTCGTGTGTGTGCCCTTTTCCGGCGAACCTTAGATTATTCTATTTTAAAATTAAAAAGTTGGCTCAAAGGAAACGGTGTAGTAGGTCACTGATGCGTTTTCAAACGATGACTATTCAATTTCGAATTTTGGAGCAGATAAATTGAAGCAAGGTGCAGAGATTTCTCTAAGCTGATTGAACTCCACAGAGTCGCAATTTTCATTCAATCGGCATATCAATTCAAATTTTAAAGGAGTATTTGGCCGGTGGTTATACTGCAAGTTCAACCTGTGCTCAAGATAAGAACGGAGGTTCAAGGGGGTTTCGGGGCAACAAGTTCCCGACTACCCCACCTCCCATTGACCGTGTAAAAAAAAGGGGTTGATTGTGGGAGATTCTCTAAAAGGATTTTATGCCGGAGGAAAAAAAAAACAGCCTGAAATGGATGCAAATTTCAATTGAGCTGACAGTTCTCACAAGTGGTGGGTACTTCAGACGGGAACTACCCGGTGGTTGAGATTAAAAACATCTGATACCCCGTCTGTAGCAACAAAGATCCTATACCAGTACCCACCCCTTTTCCGCTACTCGGAGGACCGAGAGAGCTCGTTCCACTGGGGGAAAAGCACCAGAAGGAGCGTGGTGGCGAGAGTGCTGAGGAGATGGCGGGTGGCAATGAGGGGGAGGAGGGAGGGAAGTGGGGAGGAGGGAGGGGTGGGGAGGAGGGAGGGAGGGCTGAGGGCCCGAGGCTGGGACGAGCCACCTCGAAATAACAATTATAACGTCCGTTATTGTATCCTTGAGGAAGGAGTTACTCGGAGAGATTATCCCGAGATGACAACGCTTCCACTTTACAGAGAAGTGAGATTATGCGAAACAGCTCTCTATCGGAGACAAAAAGTATTTTAGGTTTTGCTATCAGTTTTATTACTATAGTAAGCCCGAAGCAAGGGGCGCAGAGGGACACCGTCACGATACCAGTCTCTGCTATCAAAAGTGCCAATAGCAGTCAGTAAAA